AGTACTCAGCACCCTCTCCACTAGTAGACATCACATACATGGCAGATAGAATAGCATCAAAGTCTAGAGCATAGATATCAATCCCCTTCTTCAGGAGATCAAGCCAGCGGGGCAGCTCAGTGGCCTGAGGGAACTGAACACGCCAAGCGTCGTCGAGACGAGAGAAGCAGCGCTGTGTGGCGTGCGGTCGTCCACACTGCTGACCAGTGCGGTCACCAGTGCGAATGACGTACGTGCAGCTAAGACCACCCCCACCCCCGTGCTGAGAGTACCACTCACGGACCTCCTGGGGTGAGAGGGTGTGCTGCTGGCCCTGGCCACCGCCAGCGCCTCCACGGCCACCACCACCGCTGCCACCTCCTCGACCACCGCCACCCCAACCGCCGCCTCCACTCCTGCCACCTCCCCCGCCGCTGCCGCCACCACCCCCACCGCTACCACTCGCCCCTCCAGCCGAGCCACCACCCCCACTGCCTCCACCGCCCCCACCGCCGCCTCCCCCGCCGTCACCGCCACTACCCTTGCCCCCTTTGCCCTTGCCGCTGCGGCGTCCGCTCGAGGCAGACGCAGTACCGACCTTCTCAGTACCAAGAAGGTCGACAGCAGCAGCAGAGGCGACAGAGGGAAGAAGGGGGGAAGGAGAACACCCCTCAAAGAACGGGGTACGGGGGTCGCCACGAGAGGCACCTACAGCGACTATGCTAGCCTCAGCTGCAAGTAGCTCCTTCTCGAGGAGGGCAATGGTGAGCTCAGTGGGGCAACGAGCTAGGAAGTGGTCCCTGACAGCACGCAGTGTGTCAGGGAGGCGGGTGACTAGGTGATAGAGAGTGAGCCAGAGTGGAGGGGGGTGCGTGGCAAGGAACTCAGCAGGCATGGCGGCACGGAAGCGGGCCTCACTAGTACGGAGGTGCGTGATGAGGTCAGCGACTGTGTGAAAGGAGGCCAGGTCGGGAAACAGGTAGGGGAGGGAGAGACGGCCTAGTGCGGCAGAGGCAGGTGAGGAGTAGCGAGCAACTACAGCTGTGTACAGTGCCGGTGCAGTCTTGTGGTGACCAAAGTGCTCGCGTTCGTCTATCGGCAGGGAGTTGCGAATGGCGAAGCGAGCGTGGGCATCACGAGTCTGCCACTGTGAGCGAGCAGTGCTGTCAGCAGTAGCAGCAGGGGCAGTGACAAGGCCTAGGGCGTGATCGTACAGTGAGATGTCATCCTTGGCTGTGAGCTGTAGGTAGAGGTGCAGGTCATCGAGCCAGGTGTCAAACTTCACAGGGCGGCCCTCAGCATCGAACACGAGAACCTGTGGGCTAGCCATAGGAACAGTAGAAATAGCAGCAGTAGCGGTAGGAGAAGCAGGTAGGACGAACCAGGTAGGGTAGGGCGGCGCGGCTCGGTTCAGGTCGGGTCGCGGCTCGGCTGGGTGGCGCGGCTCGGCTCGGGGCGCGCGGCTCGGCTCAGGTCATGGCGGGGACGGGCCGCCCGCTCTCCCTCTTGTGCTGCGGCGGGAACGGGCCGCCCGGGGCCTCTGGGTGGTGGGCACGGGTCGGCGAGGTAGGCACGGGGCCGGTTGGGGCCCTAGAGGGGCGAGCGCGGGGCCGATCGGAGCCTGAGCGGGGCTAGCGCGGGGCCAAACGGGGCCTTGACGGGGTTAGCAAGGGGCCGACGGGGCCTGAACGGGGCTAGCGCGGGGCCGACGGGGCCTGAAACGGGGCCGAAGGGGCCTGAAACGGGGCTAGCGCGGGCCTGATCGGGGCCTGAATGGGGCTAGCGCGGGGCCGACGGGGCCTGAGAGGGGCTAGCGCGGGGCCTACGGGGCCTGAAACGGGGCTAGCGCGGGCCGACGGGGCCTGAAACGGGGCTAGCGCGGGCCGACGGGGCCTGAGAGGGGCTAGCGCGGGGCCGACGGGGCCTGAAACGGGGCCGACGGGGCCTGAAACGGGGCTAGCGCGAGCCGACGGGGCCTGAACGGGGCTAGCGCGGGGCCGACGGGGCCTGAAAAGGGGGCCGACGGGGCCTGAAACGGGGCTAGCGCGGGTCGACGGGGCCTGAGAGGGGCTAGCGTGGGGCCGACGGGGCCTGAAACGGGGCCGACGGGGCCTAAACGGGGCTAGCGCGGGGCCTGAACGGGGCCTTAAAGGGGCCGACGGGGCCTGAACAGGGCTAGCGCGGGGCCGTCAAGAGGGGCCTCTAGGGGCGTGACACGCCGAGGCGCCCTAGGGCACGGGTAGGTAGGTAGGTAGGTAGTGACGTAGTGGTGGGCCCTTAGAAAATTTCGGTCCTAGGAAGGACCTGCTCTATACCATGTTGGAATCACTGAACAGGAATGAATGAACTAGCAATGAAAAGAGTACAAGTACCTAACCCTAGAATTGTGTACCCCCTATAGGCTAACCCACTGTAGCCTAAACTAACACAACATATATAATGTTTGACATCGAGTTGGGAGGAGGTGGGGGGTGTCGCAGTATTGAGACGTTGCCTCCCGAAAAAGGAGAAGACGTTGGTCGGCGTGGGGAAGAGTTCGCGGAAGGTGTCGATCAGGGCGTGGTTTTCCATGAGTTTGGCGAATGAGGCGCCTTCTCGAGCCTCGAAGTCTTTGGGAGGGCGATTCCTATCGATGGGGAGGACGACCGAGTTGAAGTCTCCTGCTAGCATGGATGCGGAGGCGGCGGTGGGGGCTTCCGGTGCCGGGACGAGTGTGGTGGTCCACCATACTCTGCGTCCGTAGAATTGTGTGGGGGCGTAAATGGCGATGAGGCGGATTTGCTCACGCAAATAGTTGAGGTGTACAGTGATTAGTCTGCCGTCTGCGGAGGGGGCTAGAGAGGACAGTGAGATAGCCCTGTTGAAAGAGAGGATAGAGACACCGCCGATGAGCGTGGGCCTCCCTGTGGCGCTCTCGGTAGAGAGAAGTGCTGGGGCGTGAGCGGAGGAGTGAGGTCGAAGTTTTAGGTCGATGTTGGGGATTCTGTGGATGAGCCGGGTGTCAATGAGGATGACCAGGTCAGCGGGTGCAGGAAGTCTCGCCAGCCAAGACTAGAGTTCATCCATTTTGCGTGTGTCGTTGATTCCATTCACATTGATGCATAGGATGCGGAGGTGTGTTAACATGGTAACGACGTGAAGGCCAACGCACGAGAGCTCGTGCGTATCCACGGCCTAGCAAGGAAGTTGTGACGGGCAGTGTTTGAAACGGAGGCGGAGCCCGTGAAGTGCAGGTCATGGTAAGGTTCATGGTGCTGTCGCGACATTTGGTTGCATGTCAGCATGTTGAAGTTGCGTAGCGCCATGAAGTCTGAGAGCTGCAAGAGCGAAAACTGTATGGAGTTTGGGGTGTGAACAGTGTACCAGTATGTGCGACCTAGCTTTATGTGAGCATCACCGTAGGTACCCCGCAAGGCTGACGGGTGGATCAAGGCGGGTGCTGAGTGTGGCAAGGAAGCATACAGAAAGACCTTGGGTGCTATTGCGTGGTACTTGTGGTTCGTAAAGGTCCGACCCCTTTTACGGCTTGTGACAAAAACGAGCGATGTGTTATCACTATTAGGCAGTGTTGACAGTTTGCGACGGGAGAAGTGTGTAGTGATATACTGGTGGCAATGTTTCCAGCTATAAATTTTACAAGATATGGAGCTGCAAGGAAAAAACAGGTCGCATCTAGTTAATGCACAATCACAAATGAAGCCTGTTAGACATGGCAGCGTGTAAAACACTGCCATACGGTATCGCGGGGTACGCAGACAAGGGGCAGCAGAGGTTGCTAGGGTTGCATGCAAAGGGGGATAGTTCTCCGTCGGCGGAAAAACTTCTTGGAAGCCGAAAAGGCAAGTCAAGCTGCCTGAAATACAGAGTGAGAGGAGGGGCAGGGAGTGACACGAGCGAGGATGCGAAGGGCAAGGAAGGTGGAGCAGCAGGGCCTCAGGGCCATCTGAGGGTCCAGGGTGGAGCCTGAGAGGCATTTGGGGGGGAAGACTGATCCAGGGGGACAGAGGGGCGGTATAGCAGCATGTTGAGACGTGGGGGGTCAAGGAAGAAGCGAGCCGTGGGAGGTGGCAGGTGCTAAGGATTCATAACATTTTAGGTAAGCTGAACAGCTGGCAGCCTCTAATAATAAGTTTCCCCGTAAGTGTTATGTGCTGGCTTGGTTCACAAGCTGCAAGGAATTCGCTCAGCAGCCAGAGGTAGACTACTCAAATCACCCCCAGGATCTCGGGCTGATTGTCAAGTGCTATTGCCGTTTGCAGTGTTTCCTGCTTCCCAAGGGGGTGGTTTCTGTTTCGGCCAAACGTCGTCCGGGAAAGGTGGTTGGTTGGAAATTCCCTGAAAAGTAGCCACCAAGATACATGTTGCTGACGTGGAAAGCACGAGATGCAGTGAAACTACCGTGTGCAGTAGTGCACACTTGCATTATGTATAACGGGTCACTTCCTCCAATGTACCAAATATATATATAGTGCATAAACAGCTGAAATGAAAATAGGCCTTATTAAATGGACGCATGATTTTTTTTAAAGATTTTTCTATTGATTTTAATTTCAAAACGTGGTATGTTTTAAATTGTTGTATTCCTTTGATTTCTTCAAGAACTCTTCTGACTTTGTGAGTCGTGACAACATCTTATTTCGTAAAATGTGATTTTTTTCGTGTCTTCCGAGCCGCTTCTTGTAAATCGCACTCTACTGGATATGCCTCGCTGACGTGGCCCTCACTCGGCCTGGCTGGCATCATGTGGCTGTGAAGCTCGTGTCGTGGCTGCTTCTCAGCTAGAGCCTATGCGCTAACCAAAAGAACCGCTTGTGGAAACTACAAAAGAAGCTCTCTATTCATCTGGGCCTAGAACAAGTTCCCAGACACCACTTACTGCCCATTCTACAAACATCGTCTAACGACGACATAAGTGCTCTTATTCGTAGTTCCGAGCATCAGACCTTGGTAAACGTGGCCAGAATTTTGAGCCTTCTCGTTCATCGATTCTCGTGTCGCACAGCGTGATTCAAATTTCACGTATGCATGTGCTCGCTTTACCGCGCTTCCTCCCCTCAATTCTCCCTCGTATCCCCGCGTCTCTCGTTCCGTTCCGATTCGTCTCGTCTCACCAGCTAATCGCGTTCATGGCGCCTAAGCGACGACCGCGAGAAATTTCTTCCGAATCAGACACCTCCGCGTCAGACACCCCTTCGCCGCCTCCCAAAGCTTCCAAAACCACATCAGGGAAGCGCCAACGCCAGACCGAACCTTCTGCGAAACGTCCCGCGCCAGCGTCAGAAAAGGTTACGAAAACCACCGCAGGAAAATCCCTAGGGAAAACTCTAGAGAAATCTCTAGGGTCCGGAAAAGCCTCCGTAGCCGTAGGATCGTCTCCGTTTGATGCGGAGCCGGCATGGGCGCAGAAGGACACGACGGGCGCGGTGAATCCGGGGAGGGTGCGCGAGCTGCGGAAGGGGCTGCGGCGGACGGGGCCTGTGGTGTACTGGATGTCGCGAGATCAACGGTCCAAAGACAACTGGGCTCTCATCTACGCCGTCCAAAAGGTGCAGCATCTCTCTTACTTGAACAGAGTTCTAACGATAGCATTACCTGCTCCTCCCGTTCCCCCTTACCTTAGCGCACACCTCCCCCCCGCGCCGCATTTATTACACCAGGCGCGGGAGCGGGGAGAGGCAGTGGCGGTGGTGTTCAACCTCGTGGACTCCTTCCTGGGCGCCAAGGCGCCTTGAGTCCACCCCAACCTCTCTCCTCCACCCCTCCCCTTTCCCCCTCCCCTTCCCTTTCTGCCCATGCGAGCACAGGCGCGGGAGAGGGGAGAGGCAGTGGCGGTGGTGTTCAACCTCGTGGACTCCTTTCTGGGCGCCAAGGCGCGCCACTTCGCGTTCATGCTGCGCGGGCTGAGGGAGGTGCAGCCCTCCCTTGCCGCGCTCGGCATCCCCTTCTTCCTCTTCCAGGTGAGGTCGCTGTAACGAGCGTGCTTGTAACGGTGGTGATGGGACGCGCTATTGTGGTATGTGTCGAGTGTGGCTGAAACGAATGGGACCTGTACCGGTCCTGGAGTGTACTGGCCAGACAGATAGACTTTTGCCTGGGTCCGATCCATCACCTCCCTGCTGCAACGATGTGGAAGGCACTGCGATGAAAGGCCATCTGTCTCAATTCCCCTCGCTTTATCTCTTTCGTCCTGACCCTGCGCCCATTGATCTCAATCCACCTCATTCTATCTCTCTTCCATCCCAACTCCAGGGCAAAGCGGAGGAGGCAGTCCCGGACTTGCTTGTGCGGCTTTTGAGGCTCCGTGAGGCACTTCATGTCTCATTCTGTCTCGATATGTCTCAATACGTCTCAATACGTCTCATTATGTCTTATTATGTCTCGTTATGTCTCATTATGTCTCATTATATCTCATTATGTCTCATTCCATTCCACCTCATTATATCTCACTTCAAACCCAACTCCAGGGCAAGGCAGAGCAGACGGTCCCGGATTTTGCCATGCGATGTGGCGCGTCGCTATTGGTCACCGACTTCTCCCCGCTGCGCATTGGGCGGCACTGGCGCGAGGCCGTGTGTGCACGGCTGGCAGATCTGGAGCTCAGCCAATCAGGGAGCGGCAGCAGCGGCAGCGGCAGCAGCAGGCAAGGGGCCACATTAGCAGACAGGGCAGCAGGAGGAGAAGCAGAAGAAGGGGCGGGAGGGAGGGAAGGGACAGGGAGGGAAGGGGCTGAAGGGAAGGAAGGGGCGGCAGGAAGAGACGAACTGTGGGACGCGCAGGTGGGGCTGACAGGCGTGCATGAGGTGGACGCTCACAACGTGGTGCCCATCTGGGCGGCATCAGACAAGTTGGAGTACGCCGCCCGCACCATCCGCACCAAGATACACCGGAAATTGCCGGAGCACTTGGTGGAGTACCCCCAGTTGGAGCCCGGGTGCACGGTGGAGTGGACGGGGGAGAAGCCGCTGCCTGTGGACTGGGACTCGTTAATAGCTGCTGTGATCAGGTGAGAGTGAGACTCGTTATAAGGTGTGGTGGTTTTGTGTAGAGTAGCGAAGCCGTTGCCTGTGGAATGGGACTCGTGTAATGGATCCCACTCATCCCCTTCTCGCACCTATTCATCTGTGTTCCCAACACGGCTGGCCCGGAGGTACCAGAGGTGGGCTGGATAGTCCCCGGGGGAGGCAGCGGCAGCAGCGGGGAGGAGAGCTGATCCTTGCTCCTTGTCTCAACGCTGCTTCCTTCTGAGACCACTCAACTCCATTTCTCCCATTGTCATGCCTTCTGCCAGGGCTGGTCCCGAGGTACCAGAGGTGGACTGGATAGTCCCGGGGGAGGCAGCAGCAGCAGCGGGGCTACAGACATTCCTGGACAAGCGGCTGAGGGGGTACGATAGCGGGCGCAACGACCCCTCCAAGGGCCCCACCACGCTGTCGGGGCTCTCCCCCTGGCTGCACTACGGGCAGATTGCCCCCCAGCGCTGCGCTCTGGAGGCGCGGAAGCTGCGGAAGCAGCACAGCAAGGTGAGGAGGGTAGCAGGGTGAAGTATGGAGGGCTGCAGTGGGGCCTCTACCCTCCCCCGCCTTAACCCCCTCCCCTCCTATTCTTTAGAGAAGAGGCTGAGGGGGTACGACAGCGGGCGCAACGACCCCTCCAAGGGCCCCACCACGCTCTCGGGGCTCTCCCCCTGGCTGCACTACGGCCACATTGCCCCCCAGCGCTGTGCGCTGGAGGCGAGGAAGATAAGGAAGCAGCACAGCAAGGTGAGGAGGGGGGGCAGCAGTGGGCTCTGTCGGAGCTCTCCCCCTGGCTGCACTACGGCCACATCGCCCCCCAGCGGTGTGCTCTGGAGGCAAGACTTCTGCGAAAGCAGCACAGCAAGGTGAGGAGGGGGAGCAGCAGTGGGCTCTGTCGGAGCTCTCCCATTGGCTGCACTATGGGCAGATTGCCCCCCAGCGGTGCGCTCTGGAGGCGAGGAAGATAAGGAAGCAGCACAGCAAGGTGAGGAGGGTCGTGACTGAGGACTGTAAGGGGGTATGCTGGGCAGCGCAGTGACTGTATTCCCATTCGGATACGACAATAATCCACCTCGCTTTTGCTCCCACCCTTCTCGCCACTCCCACTCTCCTCCTTCCTGGCCCCACCCCCCACTTCCCAGGCAGTGGACGCGTTTCTGGAGGAGCTGGTGGTGCGCAGGGAGGTAGCAGACAACCACTGCTTCCACCAGCCGCCTTCGCCCCTTGCTCCCCGCCCCCAATCCCTTTCTTCTCTCTCGCCCCGTCCCTTCCCCCGCATCTCTTCCGCGTCACTTCAGGTTGTGGATGCGTTTCTGGAGGAGCTGGTGGTATGGCTGATACATTTTGTTCCACCAAAGCGATATCTCTCCTCTCATCTCACTCCTCGATACCCCCCACACCCCCCCGCCCCCCCCCCTTCTTTTCCCCGAACCCTCCCCGCCCCATCTTCCTCTTCCCAGGCAGTGCGTGCCTTTTTAGAAGAGCTGGTGGTGCGCAGGGAGCTGGCAGTTAACTACTGCTTCCACCAGCGCCGATCCCTCTCCTGTCATCTCATTCCTTGTTCCTCCACCCCGGGCCCACTTCGTCCTACCCCCCCATACCTACCTGCCCTTCCCCAGGCCGTGGATGCGTTTCTGGAGGAGCTGGTGGTGCGCAGAGATCTGGCGGGTAACTACTACTTGCACGCGAGCTAATCCCTCTCCTCCTGCCTCGCTCCTTGCTACGCCTCCCCACATCTCCCCTTCCTCAGGCAGTGGACGCGTTTCTGGAGGAGTTGGTGGTGCGGAGGGAGCTGGCAGACAACTACTGCTTCCCCACAAAAGCAATCCCTCTCTTCTTCCCATCTCATTCCTTGTTCTCCACCCCCCAACCCCTCCCGTCTCCCTTTCCCTCTTCTCCTTTCAGGCAGTTGATGCGTTTCTAGAAGAGCTGGTGGTGCGGAGGGAGCTGGCAGATAACTTCTGCTTCCACCAGCCGCACTACGACTCGCTGGGGGGCGCGTGGGGGTGGGCGCAACAATCACTGGAGGCACACCGAGGAGACAAGCGAGAGTTCGTGTACACGTGAGTGGGGGGTGAGGGGGAGGGTTCGTGTGTACATGTGGGGGAGAGTGGGGAAAGTGGGGCACTGGTTTGTGGGGAAACGGGGGAGCAAAGGGAGAACAAACGGGGATGTGATAGCAGCCCATAATCTCCGTTGCCTCTTTTGTTGTTTCTTGGCCACTGTATGATCCGCAAGCAGCCACTGAAACATCATCTTGTATGCGTGCCATGCCATGCGTTTCAAATCTGCCTTGCTGTGTTGGAATTGCAGGGCAGCACAGTGGGAAGCAGCCAAGACTCATGACCAGGTAACACGTGAGTAGGGGGGAAGGTGAGGTGGAAGTAGGTATTACAAGGGGGAGCGGATGGGGAGGGTGAGGGGGGCGAACCGAAGGGTCTCTCTTCTTCTTACCCCAGCGCAGTGGGAAGCAGCCAAGTCTCACGACCAGGTAACACTATTGGGAGTTAGCCGTAACACTGGTGCCCTCAAGGAGTGGTAACTCCATGGCATTGTGCTTTCCGTGTGCTGCTTTGGCGCGGGCGTGGTCTGCTTGAACCCCGTTACCCTCTTGGTGCTCTTTACCCTCCATGTCTCCCATCCCCTTACATGACCTTCCTTCCCCTTTCTTCCACCCTCACCCCTTTATCATCGATTTTCCGTTTCCCCGCCCTTCCCCCTCCCTGTGTTGTAATTCCCCTGCCTACACTACATGCCAGCTGTGGAACGCGGCTCAGCTGGAGCTGGTTCACTACGGCAAGATGCATGGTTTCATGCGGTGAGATGCGGATTCAGTGCGGTGAGGTATGGTTTAGCGTGGTAGCCAGTGGTCAATGTGATAGTTGATAGGTGTGCAGGCAGAGAGAGGAAGGACGCAGCAGGTGTTGCAGCTGAGGGTTTGTGCTGCCCCGCAGAGTAGCAGCTAGCATGGCAATGTTTTGTGCGGCATGGTGCAATCAGGCATGGTTTGTGCAGTGAGGCGGGGTGAGGTGCGATGAGGAGTGGTTAGGAGCGGTGCTGTCTCCGGTGTGGCTCTGTGCAGTATGAGAGTCTGAAGCGGCCACTCTGTGCCTTCACCTCCAAACCACATTTCTCCACCTCCTTTAAGGTTTCTCCTTCTCCCCCTCTCGCGTATTGCAGCATTTACTGGGCATGTATCGAAGTCACTTTTGAGAACTCTCGAGATCAACTTCGCTTTCCATCCTCCTCCCCTCACCCCCTCTTCTCTGGCAGCATGTACTGGGCTAAGAAGATTCTGGAATGGTCTGAATCGCCAGAGGAAGCTCTCAGAATAGCGATCGAGCAGAATGATAAGGTGAGTGGACTAACAGATAAGGGAATTCTAGCACAACATATTCGTTTTCTCTAGTTTTTTGTCTGCTTCCCTTCTCCTCGTTGTTATCGCTCCCAATGCCTTCCCCTCTCGTCTCCTTTCCTCTCGTTTCCTTTTCTCACCTCTCTTCACCTGCTTTTCCTGCTCTCACCTCTTTTCCGCCCCCCATGTCCCTATCGCTCCACGTTTATTATCGCTACCATTCCCCTCACAAGCTCGCTTTCTAAGCTCGCTCAATCCTTCCTCTCACATCCATTTCCCCCCATCCACCCCACAACTCCGTCATCATCCCCATCCCCACCCCCATACCCATCCCCACCCCCATACCCACCCCCACCCCCATCCCCGTCCGCGTCCCACGGTCCGACATGCCCACGGCAGTACTCATTGGACGGCAGGGATCCCAACGGCTATGTGGGCTGCATGTGGTCCATTGCGGGGGTGCACGACCAGGTACGGTGAATGCGTAGTTCGCTAGTGCACGACCAGGTACGGTGAATGCGTAGTTCGCTAGTGCACGACCAGGTACGGTGAATGCGTAGTTCGCTAGTGCACGACCAGGTACAGTCAATGCGTGGTTCGCTAGTGCACGACCAGGTACAGTGAATCTCAGCCTGTCAAGTGCACGGTGCCATTGCTCCTGCCCCACTCCTTGCTATTGGAACCCTTTTGCTCAGGGCTGGGCGGAACATAAGGTGGTTTGGCAGTGTTGTAATGAATGCAGGTGGGTGGAATCGGGTGTAAAAAGGTGCATTGTTCAGCACTCATTCCACTTTCCCCTTCCCCTACCCCCTCCTTTCTCTCCCTGAACATTCAGGGCTGGGCGGAGCGTAAGGTGTTTGGCAAGATTCGTTATATGAACGCAGCGGGGTGCAAGCGCAAGTTTGACGTGGAGGCTTATATAGGGTACGTGAGACGCATGGTGGCTGCTGTGAAGAAGAAAGGCATGGCTGCTGTTCCTCCTGGCGGTGCTGCCGCCTCCCCTGCTGCCACTGCAAATGCTGCCACTGCAGCTGCTGCAGGTCGTAGGGCTGGTAAACCCACAGCCTAGACAGCAGTGAGGCGCATGCTGGCTGCTGTGTGGATGAAGGGCAATGCTGCTGATGCTGCTGTTCCCACTGGCGGTACTGCTGCTTCCCTGCTGCCACTGCAAGTGCTGCAACTGCAGCTGCTGCTACCTCTCAGAGCAGATAAAACCACTTGGTAAAGAGCAATGAGGGTTCTATAGGGTACCTTCGTGCGACGCATGGTGGGTGCAGTGAAAAGTAAGGCACAGCTGCTGATGGTAGCAGCACTGGCGGTGCTGCTGCTGCCCGTGCTGCCACTGCGAATGCTGCCACTGCAGCTGCTGCTTCTTCCAGAGCAGATAAACCCAGGTTGTAGGTAGCGTTGGGGCAGTTGCAACGACTACAAATGGTGTAAAAGTCTTGTGTACATACATAAATGCACACTGCCTCAATATTACATTTTGCAGTACCGTCCTTCCCAGCAAAATCTTGTGCAGTGTTCAATGTTGATTGTTGTCACCAATCGCCAACCTCCTCTTTGATGGTTGCCATAAGGGAGATAAGAGCCACCTGCGTAGATGAGCAGAGATGAGCAGAGATGGGGTGAATGACCAACACCATGCATACGAGGTGAGAGAGCGTGCAACACAATGGCTCAAGAGCCAAACAACAGCATACCGTCGAATGCTTTACAAGAGGGACCAAATGGTATAAGAGCGGGACAGAATAGTTCAAGGGCAATCAGTAGCGTTCGGTGTGAAGCATACAGCATCTTCATGTAAACTCACGCCGGTGTGCAGTGCAGCGGCTTGTGGCTTAGAGCCACTTGGTGAAGCCTACGGGTAGGTGTGCAACAAGGAGGAGTAACTCGTAGAGTACTGTGCAGCATGCAGCGTGCATGGAGGGTGCAGAGTGCTCATGCGGACTCACGTCAGTGCGCAGTGGCTTGTGGCCTATGGCCACTTGGTGGAAGCCCAGGCGAGCAAAGAGGTGTAACTCGTAGGGTAACCACCCGCCCTCAGGCCCAACTGCCAATACCACATCGTAGGAGGCGCAGAGGGAGGGAGGGAGCAGGTGCTCTGGAATGGCAGGGAGGGAGGGAAGGAGAGGGGACGATAAAACCCCTTT